TTTGCGAAAACGCAAGTATTCGGCTAAGCGAGATCCAGTTGTAGCCTCTTATCGTAGATCCCAAGTTAGAGCCAACGCGTTATCTGGGTCATAGAAATTCATCAGTGCAGTGAATGTGTATCACCTATGATAATATACGATGAAACTATTTAAAGAAGCATACAAACTGGTTTACCTCAACTGACTGGTTTCTAAGAATTGTCGTGCGCATTCAGCGTAACAGTTACGTCGGAGCGTGAAGGACGGACAAAACCAGTTATCAGTCTCGTTTGACTTGTCTGTATTGTTAATTCAAGCTCCACAACAACGTGTTTTTGTGGCGGGATGATGCCTATCTACGCATGATGGGGTGTCATATGAATACGTTTTCACTTGAATCTCCTTCACTGTTACAAGACCGCCTCCGTGGTGTAGTGGTTAGAGCGTCCGCCCGGAGAGCGGAAGGTCGCGGGTTCGATCCCCGACCGCGTCATACCAAAAGACGTTAAAATATGGTACTTGTTGGTCCCTGCCTGGCGCTCGGCGTTAATGGGTACAATAAGGACTGGTCGGCTCGGAGTCAGTATACTGTGTCTGAGTGGGGTATTCATGCTTCACTGCGGCATGGTATCTCAGTGACCTCACCTATAAAACCAGCTTCAGTCTGGGCACACAAGCAAGCAGATCGTGCACACATCTGTTGACCCGTCGTCATATGAGGAAATATTCTCATTAGGTTTGCATAAACCCAATTTCGCCTCACCATACCTCACCTCACCTCACCAGATTGTTACAAAGTTGCATAAGGAAGTCGTACACATATAATCTGTTGTCCTTTTGTCCACAGGAGCTATGTGGACCCCATTAAGAGGATAGCATTACAATTCGAAATTTCCAGATTAGTATAAAATTGATGAAAAGCACACCCGAATTAGTATAATTTTCTGTAAAGACGTCTTTAGATGCTGTCATAAGATGCGATTAAACATTGTGAATCGATAATTCAACCAATCGATACTCGTGGTGACCTCTCTTGACCGTTCCTAATGGTTCCACGTGAGTGAACAACGGCGCAATGCTTATAGTGAGATTATCATGGCGAAACAAATACACATTGCTGATTCTGAAATTATTCCATTCAGCTGCGGTTGTTGCACGATTATTACGAGGTATACCCGTGAAGATCCGGGTTAGAATTGGTCTTCAGCAACCCATGCTTGTCGTTAGACGTGACTAACGGAATCGAGTGGTCAGGCTCGCTGACTTGGTTGACACATGTCGTCGTATCCCAGTTGCGTAGATTGGATGCTGTTGATCCCTGGATTATCTGGTCCAGGCTCTGATTACTTACAGGCTGCCGCTATGTGTGTGGGGCGCGGTGGGCGAGAGTTGGCTAAGGCGCCAGGCTAGTGATCCAGCGAGGTTGAGGTGCCGGGATCGAGCCCACCTGTGACCGGGTGTAAAACCTTGGAGTCAACTTTGTGTGCAGACTCTACATGAATACGTGCAAACACCTAGTTGCAGGTACAGCAACGTGCAGTGAACTTGGACAAGTACTTTGACTATGTGTCCCAGTCTTCCCAGCTGCGAATGGGTACCTCGTTAGGATGAGAAAGTCCCAATAACTCGGTGCGCCTAGTGGCTGCAAGAGTTGTATACTCCCAGGGGAGTTGAGATTGATAACACGTTGTACCGTTGACATTGACATCCAATGATCGAGGGAAAAATACCAGCGACTCGAGCAAGCACTAGTTGCCTGGATATGTGCGCTATAGAAATATCGTATCCAAATAATAGTAATAATAATATATGGCTGGAATATTGCTGAGTGCGGCGTTAAACGACAAATCAACCAATCAATGAAAATACCAAAGCCATAGTTGGCTGCAGCTCATAAATATCAAGGCGATCATGATTTTGTATTGTTACTTGTCATTCGATATCCCTTTCAGTGTGTTAATGATCCCCCAAGGGCATTTGATGTAAATATGGCAGTAGAACACTTTTTGATATCACGATGTCTTCTGGAATAATCCCTGGTTGTTAGGTTACAGTGTATCTGTGCTACGTTTGACATCACGTGAGTGAGTGAGAGAGTTTAGTTTTACGCCGCACTCAACAATATTCCAGCTATATGGCGGCGGTCTGTAAATAATCGAGTCTGGACCAGCCAATCCAGTGATCAACAGCATGAGCATCGATCTACGCAATTGGGAACCGATGACATGTGTCAACCAAGCCTGACCACCCGATCCCGTTAGTCGCCTCTTACGACAGGCATAGGTTACTGAAGGCGAATATTTTAACCCGGACCCCCGTCGTGATATTGCTGGAATATTGCTAAAAGCGGCGTAAAACCATACTCACTCACTCAAATTTTAAGATATCACTTTTAATGTATAAAGAAAGGACTGACCTACAGAACAACACCTTCCCCACCCCAGCCATGAAACACACACAGGGGCTTGTAACGCTGAAAACTGCCATCAAGGTATATACTGTCACTGACGGGGTCTTAGTACTATATAAAAGGTACCAAGACCCCGTCAGTGACAGTATATGCCTTGATGGCAGTTTTTAGCGTTACAAGCCCCTGTGGAAACACACACAAAGTACTTTCTCGCGCCATAGACCACTTGGTGTACTATCTATATCAGAGGGTAAGTGAAGGTCGTTGATATTGACATGGATTTCAATAACCCTCCACTCTGATTGTGTTTATGTGCCTTGGGGTTTTAACAAGCATGTCCCTGTGGACACCAATCGTTCAAACGGAAGAGTTTCGCCTCCTTCAGCCAACTTTTCCTCGTTTTCACAAAACCTCCAACAAAAATGGTTTCCGGAAATCGAAAGTAATATTTACTGGTTCCAAGTATAGATTTACAAGATTCCATTTACAAATAAACGCGCGGGGTACCATTTCGCGAACCGATCGTAGCGTAATTTGATCGTAACTGCCAAACGTCAAAATACATGCTGTGATTCTTGGATTCTTGAGAGGAACGAGGGACGAGGGGGTAGGTTGGTCTCACTGGAATCCAATGCTGCTTGTCACGACATTGGAGTTATCGCTGTGTATGAAGCCGTGGTAATCGGGTTAGACTTGATCTTCAGTAACCCATACTTGTCGTAAAAAGCGACTAACGGGTGGTCAGCCTCGCTGATTTGGTTGACACACGTCATCGTATCCCAACTGCGTAGATCGATGCTTATGCTGTTGATCACTTGATTGTCTGATCCAGACTTGAATATTTTCAGACCGTCGCCATATAGCTGGAATGTTGCTGAGTGCGGCGTTAAACAACAAACAATCGCTGTGTATGCTAATTTTGGAATATTGATTAAGACGTGAAAATAAGCGATTCGTTTTAGTGAATTCAATGTTCTCAACGCCAAGTTGCTTGAGACCTAATATAATTCGGATTGATGTTAATGTGTTGGCGTAAGCAGTCATCTATTAATACTGAGTTGTTTTGTATTGTTTTCTGTGGATTCCGGTGATGACGTCAGTGTTCTCATTTACCGTTTTCATCAACAACACTCTCTGACCCAATTCAGTGCTAGCCACAGCCCACCACCATTGCCCACACAACGATAAGCTTACCTTTTCCCTTGAAGCACATTTCTTCTGGAATTATAATGTGATGCTTAACGAGAGTCGTGCGGCTAGGTTGTATGCGTCATCGCTCTGTTTTAATGATGATCAAGCAAAATTCCGTTCAGTTATGCAAGTTTCACACAAGTCCGCGGGGATTTGGTGCATGTTGTCGCTGACGTTGCGTTTAAGACTGTTATAACGTTGCAGCGACGTGCACGCGCGTTTATGGCTCATTATAATGCTGTTATTAAATACAAGTTATCAGAGATACTCTGCCGTCTTTCAAAGACACCCCACTCAGACACGACATACAGGCTCAAGTACATGTTTTATTCCCCAAATACCGAACGCCAGACAGGGTAGGCTCGAACCACGGAACGCGCTGCAGTGCGAGACGGTACGGTTATTGTGCAATAGGTTTGTTCTGTGACAATACGCGATCCCCCCACCATCTTGTCAGGTTGTACGAAGGTTTGACTTGGTTTTGTCGTGTTGAAGTACAGGCTCAAATGTTAAATGGCGCAGTGTGATTCTGCCGTTATATGTTCATCCATTTTGTGTTAGTGTTTTGATATTGAGCTGTTTTTAAAGGTAGGTTAAATCATTGCTGAGCTGTTGGTACAAGTGGTCTGAAACCATTGGTGAACTGTTGCAAAACGTCAGCTGAAGCCGTTGCTGAACTGTTGTGAAGTGTATCGTGAAACCTTCGCTCCACTGTTGCTAAATGTATGTGAAACCATTGATCCACTATTGCTAAATGTAGGGTGAAACCATTGATCCACTGTTGTTAAATGTTGGGTGAAACCATTGCTCCAACGTTGCTAAGTGTAGGGTGAAACCATTGCTCCACTGTTGCTAAATGTTGGGTGAAACCATCGTTCCACTGTTGCTAAATGTAGGGTGAAACCATTGCCCCAATGTTGCTAAGTGTAGGGTGAAGCCTTTGCTTAACTGTTACCAAATGTAGGGTGAAACCATCGCTCCACTGTTGCTAAATGTAGGGCAAAACAATTGCTGAACTGTTGCTAAATGTAGGTGAAACCAATGCTCCGCTGTTGCGAAATGTAGGTGAAACCAATGCTCCACTCTTGCTAAATGTTGGTGAAACCAATGCTCAACTGTTGCTAAATATGCTGAATCTGTTGTTTACCTGACAATAAACTATTTTCCCATTGTTGAATGAAGGGGAGGTACACATATGCATTGCATGCGCATTTGCAAAAGTTGTTCAACGAATTGTCCAATCCCAGTAAAGCAAATAATTCCAGGACAAAACTGAAATATTATCGCAGTCTCCGCTTCTGTAATCGTCATTGGCTTGTTCGCAAACGTCAGAGATATGGAATTGAATATCCTACCTACTCATTCGTCATACATTACAGTTTACCTACACGACTGTTCAGCTCAGCCATCTTGGTTTCAGATTAACGATGGACCTGAAGAGTATCCCCACGATGTCCGTCGTCCTGCTAATGGTGCTGGACACCGTAGCTGGGAAGGAGGTGGAATCGGGCAAGTGGACAGAATGGTCCGCGTGGTCCGCATGTTCCCAGTCGTGTGGGAGCGGTATCATCTCGAGGAAACGCCACTGGCAACAGCCGAAGGGCGAGAAGCCGTTTGATGAACCCTTCACAATGTCGGAGAACTCTGGCTGTAACGACCGTGAATGTCCAGGTGAGTTCCCGTGACAGCGAAAGCGGATATACTGAGTGTTTTCCAAAACACGAAACATGCTGAAGGCCCTATGGTCTACTATATCTCAATCGAGTTTGAAATCAGTTATACGTTGTCACTTATCAATTAAAGTTTGTTTGCTTGGGTGTCTTCAAACGAGATGCATGCAAACGTCACTATATGGCTGCAATAATGCCGATGTGACGCAAAACCCAACTCAACTCAACTCAAACGAGATGCTATCCATTCCCTTTTCGCCCCATTGTGACCTCTTTCCATGCTGAGAACTTAAAGCCTGTTGTGTTCATACTTTTGTTTTGCAAGATATCATTGAAACGTCCTCATACAAATTACTGGAGTGAATTCGATGACTAAGTAGTCCATTTCATGGCGTTATTTGTTAATAGACCGAAATCTGTTTCAACCGAATTAACTGTCGGTCTACTTTCTCCAGATAATGTCATGATCTTGTGTCAATGCATTAGCTGAACGAGTTTACTTTTATTGGATGAAATGATTAGTGTGATGTAAGTTAGTTGTATTCGTTGGAGTGAATATTGTTTTACGCTGCTTTTACAGCAGTACGACAATGATGGATTCCCAACATCTGCTCCACTCCTTTGTCCAAATTCAAGGACTCCCCAACATTGCAGCCTTCTAACCATTATTATTATTACGATTACAGTTGACGGTAGCTGGAGACCCTGGGGGATGTGGTTACCTTGTTCCGAGGCATGCGGTGGAGGCATTCGAAAGCGGGAGCGCATGTGCAATCCTCCTATCAATTTCGGATTGGATTGTGAAGGAGAGGACTTCGAAGAAGAAGAGTGCAACCGGGTGCCTTGTCCACGTAAGTCCCTCACTGACCCATTCGTAACTACTCGTGTCATTCCGGCAAGCCGTATGGCGTCTCGGACCCCTCTCGTGGCCATGTTTACGACTTGGCCCTGTCTAAGTGCAAACGGGCACGGAGATGAAAATAGCCTAGTACTAGTACCAAGGAAAGATAACTCTGAATTTCCAAACATGGCTACTCCAAGAATATCCTATAGCTATACCCTGTGGACAAAATAACTGCACAGTCATTCCCTTTGTAAGTATGTTTCAGTGTTGAAAGTTGCTGATCCTTTATCTCAAAGTTTATGTTTAAATTATGTTTTGCATAGTTAGCGAAGTTTCAAACTTCAACGGTGCCGCCATTTTCATGCTTCGAAATGCCTTTTACTACGCGCGATTTGATTGGTTTGCCACAATACTTGGCAACAATGGCGTACGATTACTGTTCTCTCGGGTCCTCGCGGGTTCTCGCGTTCGCATCCACGCTGGTCCATACTGTTCCTTTCGCGTCTTCCTTGTAGTTCCCTCGAATCAAACAGATGAAGCTCGGGATCAGATCAAAAGTTGGATGTCAGATAAACGTATTTCCTTCAGTTTACCGATGGATCGGTTAATTGTCCTGTAAATTTTCATCTGAATATGGCATCGATATGACGATGTACTGACGCCTATGTTCTGTAATAGTCACGTGAACGAATGAAACTAGTGAACGTTTTTCCAATCTGGATTCCTCCCAGTGTTGAACATGAACGGCTAAGGTCTCAAATTGATCCGAAGGATTCCATATGCCCGTTGAAAGTTTAAGTTTCGACATGATATGGTTCATAAATCACGGAAACAAAATAGCTTGAGTCAAAACTCACATCGATCGTGGAAATACATTTGTGTCACACATAGCCGAAAAGGGAATGTCTAGAAGTCAGAAATGTTTCTCCAAATGAGGAAGCAAATTTAACCTTATCGTCTAAGATGATGAAAGTAAGGTCACTTTCGGTTCCTTAAGTTTACCAGTGAGTGGCTTAATTGTCCTGTAAGTTGTCATCCGAATATGATATCGAAATGATGATGTACCGCAGAGCTCCAGAAAAGATTTAGTTCATGTGGGTACTGTGCCCACTGTATTTTTTTGGAGTGGGTATTATGAATGTTGAGTGGGTATTTCATTTTCCGTTACCAACTGCTTTCAAATATGTGCGTATTTCAGTCATTTCACTCACCTAATTATTACGTCATTAAGTAAGTTTACTAAGCAGGTATGTTCTGCCTTATGTCATACCTAACCAAAACCAACTTAAATATAATGGAAATGATTTCATAAAAAATCACTCATCCTATACTGACAGTACAACACTTGTCCTATACTAACAGTACAACTTGATAGCAATCGATGTCTTTTTCATTACGCAAGCGATTTTTATAAATATACTCCGTACGCATTTGTTTTAAACGTTTTGCGTATCTAACATCTTAAATGCGTAAATGGTACGCAACAATTATTTTTTCAATGCGTAATTGGAAATTTTCTATGCGTATTTTACCCGGATACGCAGCTTATTTGGACCTCTGTGTACCGTCGCCTGAGTTCTGCAATGGTCATGTCAACGAGTGGAACTAGTGTACTCTGTTCCAACAACTTTGACATTATCGTGGAAAATGACAACAATAACGTCAGTTCAGGCAACGTCATTGGAACATTTCAAGTTTCAGAGTACCCCGTGGCTATCTGCTGTCCATGAAGGTAGGGACCCAACTCCCCGTGTGCCTATCTGACAGATCCTTAATGATCAGATAATCCGAAATAGACCCAGATCGATGCCAACGTTTAAATCATTGACGATTTCGAAACCTTTGGGAATGTGCGTGTTGTAGAGTTTCGTGTATGAGAATCCATTTCCAAAGTCCAATCACCCCTTTGACGTAGATCAGCGTTTAATTAAAACGTCTATACGAACTGAAGGATCGAAATAGAACAGAACGTCATGAATTTTAACGGAATTGTGCCTGAAGTGTCTTCCACAGTGTATGACATGTTCCCATTCAGCTTTGCTGGTACAGTCCGTATGCAACAAAACCAAATTTTGCACAGTCACAAGAAATCGGCAGACCATCTCTGATGATTTGTCTCATAACTTTGGGCACCCGAAAAAGTTGTTTAACAAACGATCATTATTTTGTTGCCACTTTCCGCTATTTCTTACGAGGGGGGCCACTTGTTGGTAGAACAGCCAGGTGTGCGAGTTGCAAGTGTTAAATTGATATTTCACTACACACGCCTGTTGATTACCTGGCTGTCCTACCAGCAAGTGGTCTCCCCTCGTAAGAAATAGCGAAAAGTGACAACAAAATAATGATCGTTTCAGTTTAACAACTTTTTTATTCGGGTGTCCAAAATTATGAGACAAATCATCAGAAATTTGTGGAAAATTTGGTTTTGTTGAAGTTATTAGATTTTGTGTTAGTGAGCAAGTCATCAGTCTCAAATGAAATCAAACGGACTGTGGTGGAGTTGTTGGATGTTTTGGCCCTGGATCCAATGACGCGGTTTATTGTCCTGAACTTCATGGTAGGGGTTCACGAGGGTTCTATTTCATGGACGTGACGTCACATCTCATTGGTTGAGGCGCCGCTATCCGCTGTGCAGAGTTGCCTCCCTTGGACGCTCAAATGGCGCGATATCCGGGCGCGTGAGAAAGAGATAACTAAACTCGAGCTGGTTTTGTTTCATTTATCTTCTAAATCTAGATTCAACACGTAACCTATTCGTGCTTTCGCTCCTCACAAAATATCCCAATGACAAGGTAGTGATCTTACAGAACAGTGTTTTAATATTGTGAAAATAAATGGACTGTACACACCTGATTTTACCGTTTATTTGAAAATTCATTTCAGGGTCGCCAAATCACAGTTGTATTTAGATAAAACATATTTGTTCCTTTAATCTCTAAATCACTTAATTTTGAACACGTGTCAGTCTCATAGTTATCACAACGTAGCGATATTAATATGACCAACGCGGAATACTTTCTGACCATATTTGGAATTCATATAATCGAACACCGTCATTCGGATTCTCTCGGGTTCATTCGGCGCCATCGGAACCAACCGTGCGTCATTCGTTTACCACGGAATATAGTTAGCATATGTCATTGTGTCATTCTGTTTGCGGAAGATCTGCCGTGAAACAATGTCCCTGACACGGAAATACCATGAGTTTCTCGATTCGCACGGTATGAGTAATGACAATACGATTCCGTGAAACTCATTATTCCGCGCAATAGCGGAAGTTCGTCCCGCAGTCACGATATCTCCGAAGATGAAAATTACCATGATTTGGGCTCGGGTGATTAGATTCCTTAGTAAACCGTGTCTTCCCGTGCAGATCCGGGTTAGAATAGGTCTTCAGCAACCCATGCTTGACGTAAGAGGCTACTGACGGGATCGGGTAGTCAGGCTCATTGGCATGGTTGACACATGTTATTGTATTGTGTATATTAATGCTCATGCTGTTGATCACTGGATTGTCTGGTCCAGGTTATTTACAGACCACCACCATGTAGCTGGAATATTGCTACCACGTCACCAGGACCCAGTGTGCTTAGGCGCCACAATTCGCTGTGTAGAGTTGCTTCCCTTGTGCACACCAGGAACCTGTGATTGTGGGTTCAGATCTCTGCTTCCCACCGACTATGTTCCTAGTCTTGTAGCCTTGTGATTAAAGCATTCGCTCGGCACGCCGTTTGATTCCCACATGGCTACAATGTGTGAAGCCCATTTCTGGTGTCCCCTAAGTAAATTTGCTGGAATATTTCTAAAAGCGGCGTTAATATGAACTCACTCACTCATTCTTCCCTTCCAGCTCTGCCTGTCCGGTTTAACGTGTCAATATGCACGTCGACTAAATACTACACGTGCAAAAGCGGAAAGATGTGTATTCCAATGGACGAACTATGTGACGACACCGTGCAGTGCCACGATGGCAGCGACGAGAAGAGCGACCCTTGCTATTCGGACAACAGGGAGGGGTCAGTTGGCTATAAGCTGGTCAAGGACACAGGTTAGTCCATTTCTGGGGTTGTGTGTTACTTGTGGACAAAACTCAAAACGCGCTGCTGTTGTTTGCGGGGCATGATTGTCTCACTCCTCTTGACCCTTGAATTTGATATACGGAGTTGTCTCCCTTAACTTTGAAGTTGCCTCTGTCTTAAATGAGAGTTAGACTCACTCACCTACCATTCAACCCATTCTAGACCCAGTCTGTACTTACTCCCCACTCACTCACTCGACAACCCAACCGCACCCTCCCCTCATATCACCCTCTCACTCACTTACTCACCTTCTCACCTAACATTCACACGTGAAGATCCGGGGTAGAATGGGTCTAACGGGATCGGGTGGTCAGGCTCGCTGACTTGGTTGATACATGTCATCGGTTCCCAATTGCGCAGATCGATGCTCATGCTGTTGATCACTGGATTGTCTGGTCCAGACTCGATTATTTACAGATTGCCGCCATATAGCTTGAATATTGCTGAGTGCGGCGTAAGACTAAACTCACTCACTCACTCTCACCTAATATTCAATCGACCCATGAAGATCCAAGTTCGAATTGATCTTCAGTAAGCCATGCTTGTCGTAAGAGGCGACAAAAGGGTTCGGGTGATCAATTCCGTGGATCGATGCTCATGCTGTTGGTCACTGGATTGTCTGGTCCAGACTCGATTATACACAGACCTCTGCCATATAGCTGGGATATTGCTGAGTGCGGCGTAAAATTAAAGTCGCTCACGAATTTTCAATCCTCGACCTATACACTCACACAGTACTAACAACACACTTATTTGACGCGTCCAAACAGCTTCATCCCCAATCCACTCACTCACACACGAGCGCCTAACATCCTAACTAACTAAGTACCCGCCTAACTAAGTACCCTGTCTTTACTCACTCACCCACCCGACCTCACTCATCTACTACCCGTGAAGATCCGAGTTAGAATTGATCTTCAGTAACCCATGCTTGTCGTAAGAGGCGACTAACGGGATCGGGTGGTCTGGCGCGCTGGCTTGGTTGACACATGTCATCGGTTCCCAATTGCGCAGATCGATGCTCATGCTGGTCACTGGATTGTCTGGTCCAGACTCGATTATTTACAGACCGCCGCCATACAGCAGGAATATTGCTGAGTGCGGCGTAAAACTAAACTCACTCACTCATCTACCCACTCGTCCTCAGTGACTTACAGTGCACTCTGCCTAACCCATTCACACACTCACTCACCAAACATTCTACCCACACCATACGCACTTACTCCTAACTCTATCGCCCGCCCAAACCCCCTTCACTACATGCTTTCACTCACTCACTCACTTATCTACCCTCTGACCCCCACCCCATCCCGTACTCAATGACCTATATCGCACTCACTCACTCACTCACCAAAACCACTCACACATTCACTCACCACCCACCCATCCCAACAGACACACACCGCACTCACTCCTAACTCAAACCCACACACAAACTCCCTTGACCACATCCTTTCACTGTCACTCACTCACTCAAACCCACTCACGCATTTACTCGCTTACCCCCAACCCCTAGCAAACACACACCGCACTCAAACCCACCCAAACTCCCTTTAGCTCATCCTTTCACTCCCTCACTCCCTCACTCACTCATCCACCCTCTGACATACCCACTCCGTACATACTCACTCACTCACTCCGTACTCCCGAACTCACTACTCACCCTCCCAACCAAAACTCACTCTCTCACCCTCTCACTCACTCCCGAACTCGGGGTGGTGCGGTAGCCTTGTGGTTAAAGCGTTCGCTCGTCACGCCGAACACCCGGGTTCGATTCCCCACATAGGTACAATGTGTGAAGCCCATTACCTGTGTCCTCACTGTGACATATGTGGAATATTGCTAAAAGCGGCGTTAAACCAACTCGCTCACTCACTGACTCACTCACTGACACTCGAGCTGCTCTGAACAGACCAAACGTCAACCTTTTTTCCAACAAGGAGATATTAATGATTGAAAGATTACACCCAATGTGTAAAGACACATCAACATTATTACAGTTTTCGCACAAACTGTTTACGGTTTTCCCAAGTTATTTGACATTTGATTTATTGCTCTGTTTGAATTTGTGGGGAATTTTACGGCTCGACTATCAGTCAGACTGGATTTAATACCATGACATGGGGAATCTTCCTATGATCTTAAACCGGTTGAAAACACTTTTTTTCACTTTAAGGAGAGTTTCAAAGTTTTCATTATTTTTCGTAATTGTGTCAAGAACAGGAGAAGTGTTCAAATATTGATCCTTACAAACCTCTGGCTTCTTTCTGCGCATATGAATCTCCGTCGTATGTTGAACACTGGTGAAAGAAGCCGAAGACAGGTCGGTGTGTTCTGAATGACATTAAGAAGTATCGGGGGACATGCTAAAGTCATTCCGTGGCGGCAACAGCGATTTGACCTTTTATTACTCGTCTATAGTTATAATTATTCAGAAATTACAAAATACTTATTTTGCTACAGGTACTTCGCATAGTGGATCTCTCTCCGTCATCGTTGGACTGGTTGTCATGGCGATTATGATGCACGTCATCGGACATTGTTGATGAGTGACAGTTGGGAGGTTGAAATGGACATCCCGTCGTCAACGGCTGACGGATGAAATATACAACAACTCAAATGAACGGAAGGCGGTGTTGTTGTTCAGATTCTTTGCATTAAAACTTGAACTTCTGTATAAACTCGACAAGAAACAGAAAGTCGAGACACAGACTTGTGTGACAAACATTCTGTTATTCATTATGACAACCAGATGACGTCAGAACTTCATGATGACGTAAAGTGCCCCAGGACACGTCAGATGTCGAAGACACCGGGATGAAACGCATAGATGCATTCAACTATGTGTGAGCCTAAAATGAAATCAAATAATTTGATTATTGACATGATCATAGTGTGAAGGAGAATCGTTTTCCGAAAGGGATGCGATCTACGTGACTGAAAACGCGCTCAAATTGACGTTACTGATGTGAAATTTGCATATCTGCAGATGATGGTACCATAACACGTGGCTGTGTACACGTGCGAATGCTGATATGAAATGTATACTCCTGTAACTGATTCAACATGCGCACGCTGGTGTATGCATTCTGAAATATACAACGGCTGGTGTGAAATCCACTCCTGTATATTTCACCCTGACAATCTATGTCTATCCGGTGTGTACTTTAACCCCTCTTCACTCAAGGCCACACCGTACTAACATGTTGTTTACGGGAAAATAGGACATTTTATATAGTTAATCAAAATACCCATTAGTCCATACGTCATGGGGGTGGTGAATTTGAAACGACGTCCTGCACATCAGCCTACTCTAAAGAACGGCCATTATCTCTAATGGGTTACCCGCGGGGGGTTAAAAAAACGAAAACAAGGGGAAAGCAAAATCTATAAGCTTTTCAAATTATGAAATAAAAATAGATCGCCGCTTATGGGAGCATTTTGATTAAAAGTACCTTAAACCCACAAGCGCATTTGTAGACTTGATTTTGTCACAAACCTTACGATTAATGCGTCATCCAGGTTTATTTCAGTTAATCTCAGTGTAAGATGATATGACCTAGTGATAAATATTAACTTTCTCAAGTCAAATCAGCATTAAGGTAGGCGTTTTGAAAACGTTAGATTTATATACAGTGCAAGGTATGTTACCATGGCAACAACGACCTCACGTTAGTTCAACTGAATGATATTCGAGTCTTCAACAAATCAAATTACAATAGTTCTTACATTTTCTTTAATCCTGTAGAATTCTAAAAGACAGCTGTTGTCAATAGTCCTATGCAAATTCAATATATTTTAGTGTAAATCGCTTCTGCAGATCTGACAGTGGCAACCGTCTGCTATATAGGGTAATTTTCTGTTGCTTTGTTCGAGTGAAATTCTCATTTTATTTGGACATTTATTACATAGTCACTGGGTTATGCAGATTACAGACTTGCGTCTTGATCCACAAAGCGTTCGTAACGTTACGACCTGTCGTAACTCTATAGTTTATCATAGGCATGTGAATGTTTCCGATCCACAAAGCGTGGGTAACGTTACGACCTGTCGTAACTCTGTTTCCGATCCACAAAGCGTTCGTAGCGCTACGACATAAGCTTAAGATAAACTATAGTTTTACGACAGGTCGTAACGTGAATGAGGACCCTGTTCATATTTTATCGTTAACGTAACAAGTTTTTTAAACATGTTACCGAAACGCACAGTTTTACCCGAAGCGTCTTACAAATCAGTTGATGTTTAGAATTTTATGGTGGAGTATCACTATTTGAGAAGTGCTAATGTCTTGACACATAAGAGGTCCGAAAAAGACAAATTATTATGAATATTTCCACAAGGAGATTTATTATCATGAATGTTGTTCATCATGAAATTTTGTGGTTAGAAATATTTTGTTTCACCTATCTAAAAATACGTATTCCGAATGGTGCTTGCACCTTCGTTATGAATGTCCGACGAATTTATCGGGTAATGATTTCAAAGAGTAATCAAAAGTTTATGAATTCACATGACTAATACAGGGAGCATCGATCATGAATTGTTCGGACACTGAATATTAAATAACGTTATGGTCCTTCGTACATATAGTTTCTGCGCATGTCACCGGTTATCATTATCTGCACATGTCACTAAACGATGTGACCGTTTGGTGTCGTGTGAAAGGGATGCGGCCGTTAATTTGGATATCTGGCTCATGAAAATCTTTTACCTATTTATTTATATGTTTTCGCCTCTAAATTAATTGTTTTAGTGAGTAGGAATCTTGTTTGAATCATCCCCTTTGCTCGGCACGCGGCCATGTTGTCTTTGTTATTGTTGATAGGGTCGAGTCACAACTGAACGGTGCTTGTTTATGAAGTCAAAACATATTTTCCTCCATGCCTCGAGGCTTGTCCTATCTGTACATACTTCATCTCTTGTCTGTTTGTATATTTGCCTATTTGTATATTGTTGTTACTGAAAATGCTGTTACGCATCCACTTGCCTTTCACCATTTCTCTGTATCATAGCAACAATTTCGCAAAGTCTCGTCCAATTCTCGTTACCTGCGAGATTTAATCCATTCGTCACCACTCGCGTCTTCCCGGAATCGCTCGAATTGTTCCGGATTGACACGAGTGGACACGAACGCCAGATAATGTGGATACTCCTTTTCTTTCTACGCAAAACCATGCCTTTTTTAATACCCATTTTATTTTGCTTGAATTTGATAAATATATTTCGTTTTTAACTGCTGTTTATTTCCCGTTTATCTTTTGACTTTATGAAGACATTCATGAGGCGTATGTTAGCACCGAGATGAAATCCTGACGTCTTTCGATCAACTTCGGATGTAACGAACTGCCACACTTCGGGGATAAAGTTTCGTCTTCCTGATGTCTGGCGTTGGGAAGTGGGGCGGGGCGGGCCAGGGTGGGGCTGAGCGCAATGGTAACAGGCGTGCGCTACCATATTGGATACGTGAATTCGTCAGATCGAAGACCAAAATTCGGTTCCTTACATATGGAAAATGGCTTAATCATATTCCTACCCCTCCTCCACCCAACTCCCGCAGTAGTATCACTGAAAATAGTTGGTAGCATGGCGCAATCCCAACAATATCACTGATTCGTTATCTTCGGAGTTGACTGTTAAATATACGCCATCCATGTATTTGTTTATGCACACGTGCGTGTTACATCAATTATAATCATTATGTTGTACATTCCCTTGCTCCTCCTTACGTTCATCCTCGATACACAGGGGCATGTTTTGCGGAATACCACGTATAACCCTTGGACGCAAAGTTGGCAAGCGTCATTCCCCTGTGTAGCGAGGATGTCTTGTTTCATGTTTCGCTTTTTTCTTTGTGTTCAGATGGATTTTCCGACACATGAAGCAAACGTCACTCTCGACACAGCCGTGCGTCACAAAAGCAATAAAGCGTTACTGTTAATTTCAGCAATTAATCTTTAATTTCGATACACATTTTACCGAACAATTTGTTTGCAAAAAGCAACTAATAATTTTTCCCCGAAAATACTGCCTCATTATTCATCACAAAATGTCAAAACATCTTATTTAACTGTTGGTGTTTTGTCTCAGTACTGTGAAATGAATGGAACTGGTGGTGTATATTTCAAAAGTATGGTGTATGGCACGGTCAATTCCCAAAGTGTCTGTCGCCCCAAGAATATATCTTAAAATTATTGTTAAAATTATTTTTACAAAGAAATAGAAGTATTTGAAATCTAAAAGTGCCACAGAAATGATTAGATACATTGTTAAACACCTTTAAAACATAATTTTTATAGAGGACATTTTGTACGTTATCAAAGTTTCTTACCTTAATTGTTTGTGATATATTTACGGGTGTATTACTTTGAGTTTAAATTGGCATTCAATAAGTCTGATATTTGTACATGAAGTATTTTCGCAATGTTAGAGTTTTTATAACGAATGTGATCTACCACGATGCGAATTGCCTCTACTTTCATGTGTTATAGCTAATGGCATATTGGAGCTTCGTGTTGGTTATCTGAAATAAACATATTTGAAATATACCACGAGTTTTGTTGTTGAACTGTATCGATGTTAATGACAGTGATACGTGTGTGTGTGATCGATTCCTTGCGATGAAAAGCCAGTTTGTCCAAAATGTTATAGAGGTCGTTTACGAATTAGGAGGGCTCAACTCGAAGACATTTTCGTGTAATGTTTGAATGTTGGGATGGGTCAGATGTCATTGGTACTAAGTGAACGTCAGAGGTCAAACCATGACGACTGCTGCTGCTACTACTTTTACTGCTACTACTACTTACCACCACTACTTTCTACTACTACTACTACTACTACTACTACTACTACTACTGGGCGGTGGGGTAGCCCAGTGGTTAAAGCGTTCGCTCGTCACGCCGAAGCCCCGGATTCGATTCCCCACATGGGTACAATGTGTGAAGCCCATTACTACTCACTACCACTACTTACTACTACTAGACCGCCTCCGTGGTGTAGTGGTTAGAGCGTCCGCCCGGAGAGCGGAAGGTCGCGGGTTCGATCCCCGACCGCGTCATACCAAAAAGACGTTAAAATATGGTACTTGTTGGTCCCTGCCTGGCGCTCGGCATTAATGGGTACAACAAGGACTGGTCGGCTCGAAGTCAATATAATGTGTCTGAGTGGCGTATTCATGCTTCACTGCGGCATGGTATCTCAGTGGGCTAGCACTATAAAACCAGCTTTAGTCTGGGCTAGTACAAGCAGCCGCACATACACATACACACGCATGCACGTCGTCATATGAGCGAAATATTCTCAAGCACGACGTTAAACCAAATTCCACCACCACCACCACTACTACTTACTACTACTAAGTACTACTATTCCTACTACTGCAACTACTACTACTTTCTAGTCTTTCTACTCTTACTAATGGCCTATATACCACCACCAGTACTGACCCGTGTACTAATACTGACCCGTGAAGATGGCGTTTAGAATTGGTCTTCAGCAACCCATGCTTGTCGTTAGCGGCGACTAACGGGATTGGGTGGTCAGGCTCGCTGACTTGGTTGATGTATGTTTTCCAGTTGCGTAGATCCATGCATCTCATGCCCATCACTGGATTGTCCAGTCCAGACTCGATAAGTCACAGACGGCGTTATATAGCTGTAATATCGCTGAGTGTGGCGTTAAACAACAACTAAAACTAAACAACCAAACTGACGAAACTACTACTACAGCTGTTGTAAAGATCCAGGTTAGAATTGTCTGCCAGAACCCGTGTCATAACGGTTGGTTGGTTAATAGTTGTGTTTTAACGCCGCACTCAGCAATATTCCAGCTATATGGCGACGGTCTGTAAAAAATCGTGGTAGCAATATTCCAGCTTCATGGTGGTGGTCTGTAAATAACCTTGACCACACAATCCAGTGATCAACAGCATGAGCACCAATCTACGCAATTGAAAAACGCTGACATCTGTCAACCTAGTCAGCGAGCCTGACCACCCGATCCCGTTAGTCTTAAGGGCAGCACTTATATTTTCTGTGTTTCTCATCGCCCGACCGACCCTTCTAATTTTATTCCCTAAAAACTCTTTTTTTTATTCCAACACCGCCGACTCGATCCTAAAACGTACCGCTTCGTCATGTAAAACGTTTATATTTTAATCAGTCGCTGCCACAAGTTCAAAGAACGCGAGAAACTGTAATAAGAATTACAATAAATGAGAATCAAGAACATTTACTATTCAGAAAATTTTGTCTTAGTTTGTTGTTTTAGTTTTTCTCCCGGCCGACCGACTCATGTTCAGAATTTGGTGGCTACAGTGACACACATTTGAAAAGAAATTATGCCCTAACTTATGACAAGCCTGGGTTGGTGAAGACCAATTCTAACCCGGATCTTCACGGGACTTGTCATAACGGGATCGGGTGGCCTGGCTCACTAATTTGTTGGTGCACGTTGCTGCTTCTCAACCTGCACAGGTCGATGTTCGTTATGACAATCACTGGATCGTCTGGTCCAGTTTGTATTATTTACAGGTCGCCACCATATAACTGTAGAGTTGCTGTCCGACGATACACCGCTAACATATCCTTTGAATAAGAAAAAAACAAAACAAACTCCGATGACACAACCTAAAACGCAGATTCATATTGACTTCTTTTTTCCCCAACAAACATTTTTTGGGCTCAATCCACCGACTACCGACTATCGACCAGGTTTAGTCCCCAAACCACCCTGAAGAAGTTCTTGCTTGTACACTCGTCAATGATGAGCATGTGATTATTTTACTCGCGCTTCGTTTACTCAATGCGTTTCAACTGAAGTTTACACAAAGCCAAATATTTTCAAAGTGACTCAACACCTCTGCAACCACGAGTGAGTACGGTTTTGCCCCCGCTTTTTGCAATATTCCAGCAATACCACAATAAGGTACACCAGGAATGGCTTTCACACATTGTACAGATGTGGGGAATCGAACCCGGCTCTTCAGCATGCTGGGCGAACGCTTTAGTCACTGGGCTACCCCATCTTCTGCAACGATGAGTGTCGCCATTCACTACCATTCGAGCGCGTGTGTGTCGTCTAACATGTCGCTGATAATCCTTGAACTAATCTGGTCTGGGACTTACAAATCAGTGACGGGTATATGCCCCACGCAGTCTGGTTGCTATCAAGACCAGTTCCAACCAGAATCTTCACGGGGAGACAAGCACGGGTTCCTGAAGACCAGTACTAACCCCGATATTCACGTGGGAGGTAAGCATGGGTTGCTGAAGACCAGTTCTAAGCCGGATCTTCACGGGGAGACAAGCATGGGTTCCTGAAGACCAGTACTAACCCTTATCTTCACGGGGAGACAAGCATGGGTTGCTGAATCCGGATGACCAATGGCGAGCAGAAGTTTACAATGGAAGCACTTTTGTTCACATTAACGAATAGACAAACTTCCACAAAGTGTTTATTGGTTTTATCCACTTTAATAAATGCAGTGTCAGACTTGATGTACAAGTATACACTATGTCAAAGGCAACCAGGCTTCAATATATAAGTGGACAAACAGAATATTATGTACATTATATTTCAAAAACATTTCTATAATGACAATAAACATCAAATACATAAAGACAAGTTTTCCCAGATTTTTCTTTTTTTTTTAAAGATTGAACTACAGGCAAACACCGATGTGTCGAACGGTCGTCACGAAGTTAAAGCATGAGCTCTACGACTTCCTATTTCGGTTTCATTTTGCTCTTGTGGCAAACCTCGGATAACTCGAAGTATTTGCATACGTTCCTTCATCTTCGACACAAAGCTGTTTCATTGTATCTGTACGTATTTATGATGTAAGTCAAATAATATACAGGAGAAAAAGAGACAATCCTAGGGACGTAGTTAATTTTTCTTAATAAGGGGGGCACTATCCACGTTAAAAGAGTGTTCTGTAAAACAATTCTACGGCCCTGAATCCCAATCTGTCACAGACAAGCACGCATACACGCGCACGCACACGCACGCACACGCACGCACACATACCATCCATACATACCATGACCGTTGGTTTATTCCTTGCAAGGTGAACGTTACCTGATCAAAACTCTTGCTGTCAGTTAAAGCAGTTTTCAATCGGTCATATCAAGATCATAAATTTCCCTCTTGAAGTCATCATGATATAATATTATTTACGCATTATTAAGGTGCGATGGGGTAGCTTTGTGGTTAAAGCGTTCACTTGTCCCGCCGAAGACCAGGGTCGATTCCCCACAATGGTGAAGCCCATTTCTGGTGTCCCCCGCCGTGATTTTGCTGGAATATTGCCAAAAGCGGTGTAACACCAAACTCACTCACTCATTCATATATTATTAAATTATGTGACAATTAATTGTGCTTCCGTTAGGGTTGGGTATTGCCAAAATGTTCGTATTGCGATATATTGTGATATGTGTTGGCGTATTGCAATATGCATTGCAATATATTGTGAAAGTGTCACACATGGGTTAAGGTAATGAAATTACTGTTTCCCTTTTGAAACAATGCCACTGGTCACTGTCAGGACTCAGATGTGATTGTACAAGAGATCAATTGAAAATGTTTTCAATTTGAAGACCACGCTCTAAACTTTTGAACTCGAGAAAAGCGTTAGTAGTAGTTTTGAATTCGTCACGAAAATTACCAATTGTATCGGGTGAACCGGTTCACGAAAAGTGTACCGCAATATATCGTAATATGAAGTTCGAATTGCAATACGCCGGTTAAGGTGTTATCGCCCAACCCAAGCATCCGTTAGTAACTACCCCAATGTGTGGTTTGTGTTGTGCGTTATGCCTTATGAAAAGAAAAGATGATCTATAAACTACGTTATCAAATATTTACAGAAAAAATGACTTAGTTGAATGTTCAAAACGTGGATCAAGGCTGGCCAAGCCGTTTCGTTTGCCATTTGCCCATCTACATTTGACTGACTGACTGTTTAGTTTTACGCCGCTTTTAGCAATTTTCCAGCAACATCACGGCGGGGAACACCAGAAATGGGCTTCATACATTGTACCGATGTGAGGATTCGAACCCGGGTCTTCGGCGTGACGAGCCAACGCTTTCACCACTAGGCTACCCCACCGCCCAATCTATATTTGAGGCAGAAAATTTGACATTCTGTTGGCCCAGTATATCAAAACTGAAATAATCGGTTAACGAAAATGCTGGAAAAAGTATTTTTTCTTTTCGTCAAGACCACATACAGTGGGAAACAATGTCCTGTCTTCTCTTCATTTGTCACTAACAGTTGTTGCAGTGTTTAGTAAAAAGTATTAATTAGGTCGCTATACAAATTAGCCATGACATTATTCCGGTTGGAGCGGTGGTGTAGCCTAGTAGTGAAATCGTTCGCTCGTCACGCCGAAGTCTCGGGTTCGATTCCCCACATCGGTACAATGTGTGAAGCCCGTTTCTGGTGTTCCCCGTCGGCGTAGAAGCGGCGTAAAACCATACTCACTCACTCATTATTCCGGTTGCACGTTTAAGCTTGTAACTATGGTAAAAGTCTCTTCCGACTCTGAAGGAACGTCACGAGTCTCATACAGTCAATAAGGACCACTCCGACAAACGGAAGTACGGTAAAGAAAATTCCCATCTTCCCGATGGTTTGGGCCGCTGGGCGCTCATCTTTTGCCGATGTCTTCTTGCGTCTGGTGGAGGAGAGGCTGGCTTTTTCCAAAATTAAGTCCTTTATAAGTTGTGACATTTCATCGGTTGAAGGCGTGGCAGATGAAAAGCAAACACACTTCATGGAGTTGGTCGCGTTGAAATAGGAGCCTGAAACGTGAATAGGAACGAACGAAATTAGTTGCTGAACGCACGAGTAAGGATTGCATCTTGTTTAATGCCGCACTCAACATGTATTATAGCTAAATGATGGCGCGCTGTGAATAATCGAATGTGGGCCAGACAAACCAGTTGTTGACATTGTAAACAGCGATCCACACATTGGGATACTATGATCTGCGTCAACCAAGTCAGTCAGTCTGACTACCGATCAGGATAGTCGCCACTAATGTCTAGTTTAGCTGGAAAATTGCTGAGTGCGGCGTTAAACAACACACAAATAACTCTCCGGAGTCCCCGGGGGCGATGGGGTAGCCTAGTGGTTAAACCGTTCGCTCGTCAAGCCGGCGACCCTTGTTATATTCGATTCCCTACATGGGTACAGTGTTTGGAGCCCATTCATGGTGTACCCGCCGTGAAATCCCTGGGATATTGCGATTGCAGTAGCTCTCCTGGTGCCTAGGACATCCTTTCCGATTACACTTTTTTTTATTTCTTTGTCATTTCTTGGACGTTTGATTATATCTACTAAACTTCTCGTCTGCCACTGTTTTGGAAGGGAATCAACTTTAAATCAGCATCGTCACAGGAACGTAGCGATGCCTATCTCGTGCAGTTTGCCAAAAACGCGGGACCAGGAGTTTACATTATCTGATCATTCTATTTTTAGTCCAGTGGGGTCTGCGGATTGGTATATTAACTCCACGCGAGATTAACTATAAGTTGTTCACTGGTCACGAGGTCATGGGTTGATGTACCCTCTATGTTTGTTTATGTTAACATACAACCCATGGGCAACGAGGGAACAGTGAACAACGTATTTATCTTACCGAACCCTTCATTGTTAATTTTGAACTGTTTGAAGCACGGGTATCGGATCATAATAACTTGTGCCAGACTTAGGCAATTAGCCAATACCAGATTTTCAGATGACATAGAATCTAGTCGACGACAAGAAAAGCAAATTTTGAGTTATCTCCCTTCCATCCATTTGTATTCGCAAAATATCGGTAATTTCCGTTCATCATACGTGACTTAATTATTCGAGATAAAGAATTACTGACGCGAAGTACCACAGTTCGGCATTCCCAGCGGGTTACATAGAAAATATTACTCGCTTGTAAGCGGGGTACATTGAAAATAATAGAAGAGCGCTCAGCCAGTAAGAAAGCAACATTTATGTGTGCGATGAGATAAAAGTTTGTGTCAAGTCGAGAGACAATTCAACCAATGGTCGTATAACATAACTGAAACATTGTTCAAATAGCATCACGGTCATTTAATAGATATCTCCATTATGTAGTCGTGAGGAGTATAAGATGTCGGGATTATAAAACATCAGTATGAGGCAAAGAGAAGGAGAACAAGGGACAATAATTAAGTAAAAGGGATTATCTTATTATAATGATATCACTGACTGAGTTTGGTTTTACGCCGCTTTTAGCAATATTCAAGCAACATCACGGCGGGGGACACCAGAAATTGGCTTCACACATTGTACCCATGTGGGGATTCGACCCGGGTCTTCGGCGTGACGAGCCAACGCTTTAACCATTAGGCTACCCCACCACCCTATAATGATATCATATCAGTACAAACGCAGTTTTACCTGTCGTTGATCCACTGGGATGTATCGTTGTCAACACTGACGTCGCTCCACCTGATTCCCATGGCGTGCTGTCGGTCATTGATGGCATTATGGACACATCAGTCTCTGTTGCGTCTGGTGAACTTGTCTCTCCATCTGATGTCATCCTTCCATCTGATGGTGTAGTTCCATCTGATTTTGTCATCACTCCACCTAATGTTGTTGTCATTCCATCTGATGATGTTGTCATTCCTTCTGATGATGTTGTTATTAACTCTGTTGGTGTTATCATTCCATCTGATGATGTTGCCAGTTCATATGTTGATGTTGCCAGTCCATCTGATGATGTTGCCAGTTCATATGTTGATGTAGCCAGTCCATCTGATGATGTTGCCAGTCCATCTGATGATGTTGCCAGTCCATCTGATGATGTAGCCAGTCCATAGGTTGATGTTGCCAGTCCATAGGTTGATGTTGCCAGTCCATAGGTTGATGTTGCCAGTCCATAGGTTGATGCAGCTATTCCATCTGACGTTGATGCACCTATTACAGTTGTTAGTCCACCCGAACTCCACGTAGTTCCGCCAACCACAGTCTTCACAGTTCCAACAGACGATGTCGTTTCATCACCAACGTTTGATGTAGACGGCACGGTGGCTTGAAGACGGCTTTGACTGCTTTGAAGGCCACTTGCAGATGCGTTTTCTAATTTGCCTGAAACAGAAAATGGCATTTATGTTCTATAAGTTTATAAATAGTTGATCCAGCAGAGATAGGTACTTCTTAAAAGTTAGGCCTGTAAGAAAAAAAACCTATTAGTTTTATTTTCAACAAGCATCCTACGAAAGTCTAAATGTTCCACTTTGGTTGCCTTTATTTAAATTACCTTTAAACGGAAATTCCTCGTTATATCACGTATTTATTTATGTTGTTCAAAATTTGTATTATATTTTCGTAATTTAGCTATTTTATCGTAATGTCAAATTTACGTTGAAACTATGCTGAAAGATTCGGAGGGACGAGAATATATTCGAAATTTCGAGTTTTTGAAAGAAATTTGAACTACAGAGAAAATAACTGAAGTAATTAGAAAAAAATATCTTGATTTCAATTATTTAAAAAACACTTTGAAATAATAGAAGTAACGAGAAAAAATACAAACTTTCGACATGAAAAAAACCCAACGAAATTATTTACGAACACAGGATCAAAACTCGAAACTTCGAAGAAAATAAACAATTAACTGAAATAACGGGAAATTTCGGTTATAACAAAAAAATATGTACAACTAAAGTGTCACCATTTTGGCACGTACCATCATAGCATCGTTTTAGATAGACAGCTGACTGGGGATTCGTCTGCAGCTCAGGTGTAGAAATGGCGGTGTAAACATAACTTCCTGTATACGTTTGACAGGAAGAGCCATCGTGTCCAACGGCAACACAAAGTTGACCTTCTCTGTCCATTTCCAGGCAAGTCCTCTTGCACGTCTCCACGTCTTGTTTTGTCGTTGAGTGTAATTCTAAACCGGAAACCACGTGACCCCTTTGCTCAGTAAACCAGCATCCTGGATGATGATGATGATAATTATTATTATCAAACACTATTACTCACTTTCATTGAGGAGTTAAGCGATGGAATGGGGTGACGTCATGCCCTTGTTTGCAGAATGTGCAAAAGACGAGAAAATCAAAACTGTTTCGAAAACTATTGACCAATCAATTTATACTAATGTTATTCTCTTAGTGATTAAAGCGTTCGCTCGTCACGCTGACGACCCGAGTTCGATTCCACACATGGGTGCAATGTGTGATGTCTATTTCTGGTGTCCCCGCCGTGATATTGCTGGAATATCGATAAAAGTGGCGTAAAATGTAACTCGCTTATCATAGACAAATGTGAACGCGGAACAAGATTCTGTATCGAAGCGTCGCACTCACGAATTAAAGAAGTTGTTTTCCATAAAGTTTGTCTATATTGTACTTCCCAACTAACTAACATGTCACGCAAAGAACTTACACTCACTCACTCACTCGCTCACGCAACTTACAATTGCAGCAGACACGCCCATACGTTTTCATATGACAAAAGCTCACGATTTGTAAAACATCGCAAGGTTATACTAAGAAAATATTTACTAGGGGTAGATGTACCAGAACCAACGCCGTCATTGCAGATTAATGTTTACTGGTGTAGGAATGCTTCAGATCAAATGGTTCTTCAACCACCCATGCTTAAGGATCAGGTAGTTTCGGGTGATGTACGTCATCGTATTCTATTTGCGTAGATCAATGGTCATGATGTCAATCACTGGATTGTCTGGTCTCGATTATTTACAGACCGCCATCATATAGCTGGAATATTGCTTAGATATATGTCGAATCCCAATGGCGCAGTTTGGTGCACAGGTCACTGGATTGTCTGGTCCAGACTCGATTAATTCCAGACCGCTGCCAAATAGCTGGAATATTACACAATTTGAACAAACTTATGGCAGAATGGGTAACATTAACCATTATTCAAGCACTTACCAGTTTCCGTTTCACATACTGTTGCATATAGCCTGTCACAAGTCATGGTTCTGTAGTTGAGACTTAGTGTATACCGGACACAATTCTCTCTTCCCTTAGAGTTCGGTTCACGGGGTGCCCAGTTTAAGATGTTGCGAGTGCTGTACCGTCTGTCCATGTGTGCACAAAGTCGTCACCGTTGTCCGGCTCCAAGTCATAGAGACCAACCCAGACGTCGGAATTCCTGCAAGACACATGAGTTAAGCACCACAGACCCGTTAATGCGACTAACGGGATCAGGTAGTCAGGCTCGCTGGTTTGGTTGACGCATGTCATCGTATTCCAATTGAGTAGATCGATGCTCATGTTGTTGATCACTGGATTTTCTGGTCCAGACTCCATTGATTCAGACAGTCGAGATATACCTGGATGTTTGTGCGGCATAAAACAACAAACAAGCAAAACATGACATCGTATCGCAATTGCGTTGGTTCCCATGATATCAATCACTGGATTGATTGGTCCAGACACGAATATTTACAGACCGCCATCGTATAGCTGGAAAAGTGTTGAGCGCGAACAACAAACAGACAGACAAACAAACAAACACATAAAGCACCACACAGATGTCACTGACGGGAAACACTGCTCTTGCGATGTACTGTTTTCCCAAGATGTATCGTAGAAGTATAAAAAGCACGGAAGTAGCTGTAAAGACAATAGTATTTTCTGCAGCTCAATGTAGTGATAACTGTGGGTGTGTGAAAGTGAAAAAAGGTCACCGTAGTATTTTGTGTACCTAAATAGCTTTTGTATAAATCTGGTGTACATTTGAACAGTTTTTAATGTATGGATATAACGAATCTGTCGTCCCTTTGAGCTCGTTATAACCGTACTTACAGCCTGTGGCGATACAGGAAGAATGGTATAATAGACCTTCTCAAGGGAGATTACTCGTGATTATTTAAGGTTGTATTTCTTCATTTCACATACTGTATCAGCAAGAGGGATAGAAACAAGCCTTGTTACGAGCGAAAACCGCAGCCACCAGGGTACGCGCGTCCTTTCTTGCATATTACACTTCAAATAAATACATTGATTATTCTCTTTTAGACTGAATGGGGGCGATGGGGTGGCCTAGTGAGTAAATCATTCGCTCGTCACGCCGAAGGCCCGGGTTCGAATCCCCACATGGGTACAATGTGTAAAGCCCAATTCTGGTGCCCCCCGCCGTGGTATTGTGTGAATATTGCTAACAGCAGCGTAACACTAAACTCACTCACTCACTTAAACTGAATGCTTGCAAGCCAGGAGTGAGTGAGTTGAGCTTTACGCAGCACTCAGCAATATTCCAGCTATATGGCGGCTTACTGTAAATAATCGAGTCTGGACCAGACAATCCAGTTATCAACAGCATGAACATCGATCTACACAATTGGGATACGATGACAGGTGTCACCCAAGTCAGTGAGCCTGACGTCCCGATCCCGTTAGTCGCCTCTAGCGACAAGCATGGGTTACTGAAGATGAATTCTAACCCGGATCTTCACGGGTTTGCAAGCAAGGAACGACTGGCAACATAACATTAAACTTACAAATCCTCGTCTTCTACCCATGTTGTCATAAACAAATTGAACACCTCCTGCTGTCTGGCCGCCTTCAGTCTGAGCAGTTGTTGTCCATGCCGCCTACAAACTCCATTAGTATCATTCCAAGAATGCAGGTCGTTGTACAGTGTGAAAATTCTACCGCGACTTGCACGCAGAACATATTCTGAAATATCGAAGTACTTCCCATTATATATTAACATGTGGCAAAATTGTACATCTTTTAAGAACACCAGCTGCAGGCTCCACAAATTAAAAACATTTAATCTCATTTGATCTCTATGTAAACAGGTACATAATTCAACTACAAAATTCACTGTTTATTTCTAACTATCTACAACAGTACATGGGTGGTCTTGCTAGCTGAGTTGGTTGACACACGCCATCGTATCCGTAATGCGTAGATCGATGCTCATGCTGTTGATCACTGGATTGACGGGTTCAGACCTACGCATTTCGGATACGATGGCATGTGTGAACCAAGTCAATAGTCCTCTCGCTTTTATAAAATGGGATACATTGAAAACGATTTATGAAGTTTTTGTTCTACAGAAAAGGAATCTATATTCCATTTGTTCTGGGAATGCCATAATACGCTACGTTTAGAATGATTTGAAACATTTGCAGTTGTCAGAAGCTCAGATAAATAAAAATACATAAAAAAACTGTTTTCCTTGGTTATACCAAAAGAAATAATAACCCACTTAATATCATCACGTTAATAACATCACATTACACTTTCACTAGGAGATCACGAAAGAAAATGCCAGAATTCAAAGAAATCCAAAGGGAACTAACTGACTATGATAGATAAACTAAATATGCAGCTTCCATAAATTCAAATATCGTCATGTTTTAAAAGTATTGGCTAAGTTGTCATTTACATTGTTTTTAGTTATTAGGAATTGTAATGTGTATGCGCTACTGCAAAAATTATAAAAAATTATATTAAAAAAAATTAAAATATGCCCCTAATTTCCTCACTATAACCTCACCATAACCACAACATATATGGGTGTCTGTCAGAGGGGGCTGCATTTTCTTACATTCAAAATGGTAAAATATACTTTTAATGCGAAGCGACGAAACTCTTTTGAAAGCCAAACTCGACGGCATGGTTGTTAGCATATCATTATACCTGAGAGGCAAGTCAGCTGCTCGTTATGCCAATCACTGGGTTGTAGGTCAGTTGGTTGGTTGTTGTTTAACGCCGCACTAAGCAAAATTCCAGCTATATGGCGCCTGTCTGTAAATAATCGATTCTGGACCAGACAATCCAGTGATCAACAGCCAGAGCATCGATCTACGATGACATGTGTCAACCAAGTCAGCGATTCATCCCCGATCCCGTTAGTCGCCTCTTAAAACAAGCATGGGTTGCTGAAGACCAATTCTAACCCGGATCTTCACGGGGAGACAAGCATGGGTTGCTGAAGACCAATTCTAACCCGGATCTTCACGGGGAGACAAGCATGGGTTGCTGAAGACCAAATCTAACCCGGATCTTCACGGGGAGACAAGCATGGGTTGCTGAAGACCAATTCTAACCCGGATCTTCACGGGGAGACAAGCATGGTTGCTGAAGACCAAATCTAACCCGGATCTTCACGGGGAGACAAGCATGGGCTACTGAAGACCAATTCTAATCCGGATCTTCACGGGGAGACAAGCATGGGTTACTGAAGACCAAATCTAACCCGGATCTTCACGGGGAGACAAGCATGGGTTACTGAAGATCAATTCTAATCCGGATCTTCACGGGGAGACAAGCATGGGTTGCTGAAGACCAAATCTAACCCGGATCTTCACGGGGAGAAGATCATTGGTTACTGAAGACCAATTCTAACCCGGATCTTCACGGGGAGACAAGCATGGGTTACTGAAGACCAAATCTAACCCGGATCTTCACGGGGAGACAAGCATGGGTTACTGAAGATCAATTCTAATCCGGATCTTCACGGGGAGACAAGCATGGGTTGCTGAAGACCAAATCTAACCCGGATCTTCACGGGGAGACATCATGGGTTACTGAAGACCAAATCTAACCCGGATCTTCACGGGGAGACAAGCATGGGTTACTGAAGATCAATTCTAATCCGGATCTTCACGGGGAGACAAGCATGGGTTACTGAAGACAATTCTAATCCGGATCTTCACGGGGAGAAGATCATTGGTTACTGAAGACCAATTCTAACCCGGATCTTCACGGGGAGACAAGCATGGGTTACTGAAGACCAATTCTAACCCGGATCTTCACGGGGAGACAAGCATTGGTTACTGAAGACCAATTCTAATCCGGATCTTCACGGGGAGACAAGCATGGGTTACTGAAGACCAAATCTAACCCGGATCTTCACGGGGAGACAAGCATGGGTTACTGAAGATCAATTCTAATCCGGATCTTCACGGGGAGACAAGCATGGGTTGCTGAAGACCAAATCTAACCCGGATCTTCACGGGGAGAAGATCATTGGTTACTGAAGACCAAATCTAACCCGGATCTTCACGGGGAGACAAGCATGGGTTACTGAAGATCAATTCTAATCCGGATCTTCACGGGGAAACAAGCATGGGTTGCTGAAGACCAAATCTAGCCCGGATCTTCACGGGGAGAAGATCATTGGTTACTGAAGACCAATTCTAACCCGGATCTTCACGGGGAGACAAGCATGGGTTACTGAAGACCAATTCTAACCCGGATCTTCACGGGGAGACAAGCATGGGTTACTGAAGATCAATTCTAATCCGGATCTTCACGGGGAAACAAGCATGGGTTGCTGAAGACCAAATCTAGCCCGGATCTTCACGGGGAGAAGATCATTGGTTACTGAAGACCAAATCTAACCCGGATCTTCACGGGGAGACAAGCATGGGTTACTGAAGACCAATTCTAAAGCGGATCTTTACGGGGAGACAAGCATTGGTTACTGAAGACCAATTCTAACCCGGATCTTCACAGGTTTGTAGTTCACAAGCCGTTGTCACATAGCTGGACTATTGCTGATTGTGACAGTAAACATATAGGAACAAGCACAACAACACCATGAAGCATTTTGTACATTAGCGCCTGCAGCCCGCGGTTCAGGGCAATCGTAAACAATACATTTGGCATCGTTTCAAGTCAACTCTAGAACTACTAGAAACACAAATTGACCGTATCACGTTTATTCCGGACCTTTAGTGTTTTTGAGGAGTTTTGTCTTTTGTTGCTATAACTCTCACACAGCCTTCACGGTTTATTATTTATGTCCTGAGACTGAGGTGCGACGGAGCATAGACGTCGTTAACGACTCACATTTTAGCAATGGATAATGCATGTGGGTAACTCTGTGGCTATTCTGATGTGAAACAAACAGCAAATATCATGGGGTCGATGGGGGACAATATTAGTGCTGCGCAATATAACCGGTTTACCGGTATTTACCGGTTCAAACATGAAAACGATACGTATTGCGATACGCTGATCGAAAACAGGTATTTTGACATGCATTCGGAAAACTTCGTAACACTCGGAAATCTTCGGATATTTCCGTTTTTTAAGTTGTTCCTTTCCTTTTTTTATTTGTGCCAAATATTATTTACATTTGTTTTTTGTCATGATTAAAAGTTTTTATTAAATCTTAATCATGCATAGTGATTTTGTTGTGTTTTTGCTTTATAAATCAAGCATTAACTGAATTATACGTAGTTTTTTGTTGAAAAAAACCTTCTTGCAATATATTGCAATACATATCGCAATATACGCTTTTGCATCGCAATATATCGCAATATGAAAATTCTCTGCAATACCCACCCCTAGACAATATATAACAAATCAATGTAGCGCCCACATCAGGATCGGCAACAGTTGCTGATGTCTGTTGAAGTCCTATAAGTGCTTGATTATTGACATGCATCCTCTTAGAACCAGATGTTGGTTGGTGTTTAACACCGCGCTCAGCAACATTTCAGCCATATGGGAACAGTCTGTAAATAATCCAGTCTGGACCCGTCAATCTAGTGATCAACAGCATGAGCATCGATCACCGCAATTGAGATATGACAACCAAATCAGCGAGCTTGATCACCCGATCCCGTTAGTCGTCTCTTACTACAAACATTGGTTGCTGAAGACCAGTTCCAACCACGATCTTCACAGGTAGAGAAAAGAGGGGGATTCATGCAAAATTAATGATTTTGATTTTCTTGGTGACTGATGGGTGGAAGGGCGATTTAGCTGACAATTTAACAAAATCTATGGTCAGCTGACATTCAACGGCTAATGTAGTAGATACCGACACCGAAACGTCGCGTCTATTGCAAAAAAGAAGTTGTCTATCCATTAAAAATTAGGTAACAATTGTTCCTCTTAATCTAGTGTCATCACTTATTTTCACTGGATTACTCGCGTAGTTTGTGTCGCTATTTTAGCTTTTGTAACCGATGAACGATACTGCTATTCTTTATGGGTGGGTTTTGCAGAGAATTTTCATATTGCGATATATTGCGATGCGGAAGCATATATTGCGATATGTATGGCAATATATTGTAAGGATTATTGTTTTAACAAAAACTACTTATAATCGAGTTAATGCTTGATTATAAGCAAAAACACAACAAAATCACTATGATTGATTAACCGTTTATAAAAACTTTTAATCATGACAAAATAAAAATGTAATTAACATTTGGCACTAATGAAACAGGGAAAAGAACAATTCAAAATACGGAAATATCCGAAGATTTCCGAGTGTTACGAATTTTTCCGAATGCATGTCAAAATACCGGTTTTCGATCAGCGTATCCCAATACGTATCGTTTTCATGTCTGAACCGGTAAATACTGGTAAACCGGTTATATTGCGCAGCCCTACTATTCTTATAGTCTCTCATGAATAATATGTGTGTGATGTCTGTAATGTAATACACTAAACGCCAAAAGAAACGTTACCCTCCTACCTTTATGAATTACTTAAAAACTGTCAAAGATATGTTAGAAGGTATTAGTTTACAAGGAAGCTTAACAACACAGCTTTATGTAAATCACAAAAAATGTTCTCAAATGCATTCATATTAAGGTGAATTGCATTTTTTTCAGAAGAGTTAAATTGTCCCATGTTCGTCAATGCCGAAGTAAACCAATAACAGTGATTTAGAAGTC